TTATATAACAAATTCCCATGGAGTTTTAAAGCTTTGTCCAGGTAGTCTTATGAAAATGCAATATTTAAAATAATAAATAAAATCCCATCATTGCACTGTTTCCCTCATGTATCCCCAGGGGTATGCAATATCACATTTTGGCAATCCCTGTTCTAAGGGGATGAAAGGGTAGTTGATTCTTTTGCCTGTTGAATTCTTTGTCATCATTACCTAGCGCAGGGCTGGGCAAAATATGGCCCAGGGGCTGAATGCAGCCTGCCAAGCCACCAGATCTGGCCCACAGAGCACCCCACTGGTCTTCAGGCACACAGCTACCACAGTTTAAAGTGCTATGTTTCTCTGCTGGGGGGGGGGACTTCATGTGTGATTTCCTGCCCCAGCCCAATGCTTAGCTCCTATTGGCCAGAAATAACTGGCCAATAAGAACTGACCTCAGTTAGTCTGTCAGCTCCTATTGGCTGAAACATCCAGCCAATCAGAGCTGAGAGATTGGCCTGGTAAGCCTCTTCCCCCATCCCAACTGAGAGCCACATGAAGGGAACAGCCTATGTTTTCAAGCAGTCTGGGGCTACAGCAGGCAGGGAGCCCAGCCTGTATTGGGGGTGCTTACAGGCCAGAAGATGCTTGGGTAAGTGCCTCCCAGCCAGAGCCTGTATCTGGCAGCCCTGCCCCTCCTGCACCCCAACTCCCTCCCCCAGGTTACCATCCAAGCGGTCTGCACACACACCCTTGCCCCATGTCACAAGCTCCTCCTTCACCCAAACACCCTCTGAGACCCCACACTGTCTCCTGTATCCCAGTCCCTTATCCTGTGCCCCCTTCGGTACCCAGCCTCCATCCTAGACCCTGCACCAGCTCTACAGAAAAGTGCGGCCTATGACCATTTACCAAAATCTTGGAGTGGCCCCCCACCAAAAATTATTGCCCACACCAAACCTAGAGTAAAGGTGTGTATACCAGTCCCGTAGGAGGATCTACACAAACTACCAACTTGAAGTCAGTAGGTGACTGAATAACCATAGGGATATGAACAGCTATTAAACCAGGGGTGGGGAATCTTTTTTGGGCCAAGGGCCACTGACCTATAGAAAAATCAGTCTGGAGCCGCACACAAGAGAGGAGAAAAAAACAACTTCATTCCCTCCCAGAGCCTAGGGAAGCCCAGCCTAATAGACTTTGTATGCTGGAACACCAGCACAGGTTCCCCAATGGGGGGACTTAGGAGCAGAGCTGAGCCTTGGGGGCCAGTTCCAGGCAAGTGGGGGTCCACACCTCTGTACTAAACAGATCCAGATTTAAGGTAGTACAGTAAACTTCCGATAATCCGGCACCTTTAGGATCCATGGGGTGCTGGATTATCAGATAGGCTGGACTATTAGAAGGGGGGGCTATGAGGGGTCTGGGGTGAGGTGGGGTGGGGAGGATGCCACACCAGACCCCTCATGCCCTCCCTTCTAATAGTCTGGCTCTGCCCCAGGCATCCCCGATTCAGCTGCTGCTGGTCAGTTTCAGCAGCTGCTGAATCGGGGAAGCCAGGCACAGAGCAGCTCCATTTGTCCGGCTGCCCCGAGCACTTCCAGGTTCCTGATGGTGCTGGAGCATTGGATGCTGGACTAATGGAGTTTTACTGTAGTTTAGAATTGAAGGATTCACGTGCGGGTTACCAGTGTTTGTGTGCTTCCATTCTTTCTCCCTTGGTGAAGATAGTGATCTACAAAATTAAACTTTCCCATGGAATCTACGCAAGTAAACTACTAAAACTTGTTTCTGTAGAATGGTGCTCTGTTTGTTGCATTATCTTCTAAAAGCCTTGATGATTTCAGGTCCTCTAGAAACATTTTGGAGAGAAATCAGTGTTGAAATAAAGGACAAAATCAGCAGGGGAAAACCGCCTTCTAAAAGAGCAGTAAACATTGATGCTTAAATCCAAAATTCATTTTTAACAAAATTCCTCCTTAAATTTGGTCATCTTATTAAAGATTTTCCAAACATTCAAATCAGTGTTTTCCCTCCTTTTGACAAGAAACGTGAAAACAAATTTCTGATTTGTTTTTTGAGATTTCGTACTGTATAGATGTACAGTCCTGTATGAAAATGTTATTACTCCAAGTGTTTTAAAGAATGATTAACTTTGGGAAAGTAAAATTAACATACTTTATTATATACTTCACAGTAACTAGTAAATGAACGTACATTTTGAGAACAGATACAAAATAACAGTACAAATAGATGTTTGAGATACATAAGTGCAAAACTATCAACAAATATTATATTAGTATTCCTAATGTGTGTCCCTGGTAGTAATGCCTGTGCAAATTTAAGACACTCACCTTTGGATGAGGAAGCAGGGATTGGAAACAGATTTTCAAAGGGGCTTTAACTCATTTTGCAAAGATCCTTACATGCCAAAAGCATTTCATGAACTATCATTGCATGAGTTTTTCTGTTAATTGCTTTGTGCTGTTGATAGTGTTTAAGAAGAGTTAAAAAAGGAAATTGCTTTAAAATTATATTTAAAATCCTGACAGTTGATGCTGACAGTTCTTTCAACCATAATTTTTGTGTAGTTATTTTTCAGGGAGGTGTTGGGTAGGAGTCTGTTTTGTTTTTGATAACTTTTTTTTGCAAACATTACACAGGCCACTCAGGTTTTCTGAAGAGCTGTAGAATTAAAAATTAAACTGTAATTATTTTTCTGTAAGTCAGGAGCCCCCAATCCAAAAAAGTTCCCGATCTGTTCCAGAAAGGAGAGGCACCATTTTGAAATAGAAGTTCTTTTTTCTGTAGAGTTCTTCAGTTAAACAAAAACCCCAATCAAAACTCTGTACTGTATTTGTGAACTGTAACTTCAACCATATTTGTTTTGTAAGAGTTGACCAAAATTGCTGGTGCATATTTCCTGGGTTTTTAAAATGTCTTCCATCTTAATATAAAATAACCCCACTGTTTATAATTTAATCAAGTGTCTGAGATACGCCATCAAAATGTATACCAGTTGAGTTCTAATGTGTTGCTTTTTTTGTATGGTTGTGCATCTTTGGTAAACAGCATTTTGATTTTATGTCTGTACAGGAGTAATTTAAAAGATTGACTTTGTGCCCACTTCAAACCCCCTTGTATCTAAAACTAAAAGCAGATGCTTTTGCGGAAAAACTTGCCAGCTGTCTACACTGGCCGCTTGAATTTGCGCAAGAACACTGACGATCTAATGTAAGATTGTCAGCGTTCTTGTGCAAATACTATGCTGCTCCCGTTCGGGGGAAAAAGCCCTCTTGCGCAGATATATTTGCGCAAGAGGGCCAGTGTAAACAGCTAAAAAGTGTTTTGCACAAAAAAGCCCCGATGGTGAAAATGGCAATCGGAGCTTTCTTGCGCAAAACCACGTCTAGATTGGCACGGACACTTTTCCAGAAAAAGTGCTTTTGCGCAAAAGTGTCCGTGCCAATCTAGACGCTCTTTTGCGCAAATGCTTTTAACAGAAAAACTTTTCCGTTAAAAGCATTTGCGGAAAATCATGCCAATCTAGACGTAGCCGAACTGTTTATATGTTTAAATCTGATATTGAAAGAGTGAGATCTTGCTCATTTTCCTCTCTTGGTTTTACTCTGCTGTTTAGTGTATTAAATCTAGCTATTATTTTTTTAACTCAAATAGATATCACTAGGTGGCGATATACTCTAGATGTAAACAGCATATTATAAATGAGCTAGCTAAATGGAATTAAATAGGTTAGTGGATATTTATTTCCAGTTTAGTAGGGATATAAACAGCAATCATGTGGATTCTTGGAGATTCCTGTTGCACCGATTTAACATTAAATTATAAAAAACAAGAATGGGGGAGGGGAGTTGTATGGAAAGGGAACCATTTTGTATTCTAATTTTGTTTTAATGGTTACAATTTTAGTTCTCTTCGGTCAGTAAAATTTTTTGTATATAATTTAAGATCGTTTTAAGTGTGGCATGTATTTAACTTAAAGTACATACAATGTGTGGCATGCTAATTTATTTAACTCACATAGGAGAAGGAAAATATAATCTAATTCAGGTAAATTAGTTGTTACTATGAACTGATAGCCCAAAACCACTTATAGCATCTCAGAACGCCCCTAGATGTAAGTGGACATAAATTACTGCAAATAACATTTAAGTGTATAACATAATAAATATATTTAAACGGTGGTGGTTAATTCTGATCTTGTGTTGACTGAAGCATTCAGATTATAGTCACGTAGTTCTTTCAAGTGCAATTTTGCATTCCAATTTGCGTGATTGGGAGTAGGGTTAGGGGCCATTGTATTGATTCAACCCAGAGTAGCAGGGGGGCCAATGCCTGTGTGCACGGGTTCCAAAGCCCTTTGTAGGGGGGCGCAGCTTTCCTGAACAGACCCTGACATGTACCCGTTTAGCGAGCTACGCAGAATGCGAGTGGAGAGGCAGGTTGTAATTAGGTATCCATGTAGGCTGAACCCGCCATTTTATTAAGCAATGCTGGAGTAGGTCCTTGTAAGGGAGATGGCAGGAGGCAGAGAGAGCATGAAATGGCAGCCGACTAACAGTAATCCGGCCATATGCACCCCGTAGGAAGTCACTATGCGCGCGCGGCTTCTGAATGAGCTTTCCCCTCCGCTTCGGGACAGGAGCAGGGAAAGATGCAGTTTGTAGGGAGAGCTGCTTTGTTGCTTTTTAACTTTTTTGTTGGCTACATGTCGAAGTCTGAGGAAAGCGTCAGTGTGTTAATGGCTAGCACAGGGATCGCGTGTCACGTAACTCCAGCGCCCCAGTGCAGGCAGAGCGCTGCAACACTCCGCCTGTGACGGGCGCGGCCGCAGCCGGGAGCCGCTGTTCGCCACAGCGGGGCGGTAGTGACTAGCCTCAATGAGAGCCCGTTTGTTCAGGCTTGCGCCGCTTACTGGAGAGCTTCGCTCTCATTTTATCTCGTGTTCATTAACTAGCGTAGCAGCTCGCGAGTTAATGGCCGTGCCCCTGTCTTCCCTGCAGGCGATGGAACATGCAAATGGCATGGAACTTGACGGCAGGAGGATTCGAGTGGATTACTCCATCACTAAAAGAGCGCACACTCCCACCCCGGGAATCTACATGGGCAGACCAACCCAGTAAGCAATTTCTGTCTCTGTAAACGGACCTCAGAACTTGTTTAACTAACTACCAGCACTATATTGTGACGATTTAAATCTTGTTTGCCTTTTTTAAAGCTATTCCTTATCTCTGATATATTTGCATGCACTCCGGATGGGTTTGTTGCAGTTGCTCTTGAAGTACTCTACTAAATCCTGGTTTATTAGATTTTTACTCAAGATTAACATATCTTTGAGAGACAAATAGCTTACTGATTGAAGAATATATTAAAAGCAAACAGAATGGGGGAAAATTTGTTCCAAGGTTCTTTAATGTCTAAACCACACCCCTCTCTGTTCAATTAATGCACTTAGTGATTTTCTTTAAATGTAGAATCTAGTGCATCTGAGTTACAAAGGGAATAGTTGTCACTTGAGAGGATGCTGAAGATAATTTTAGAATTTAAAACTAAGACAAATTCAGACTTGATGCTTCCTTTTTATTTTTTTAAATAGCAGTGGAGGTGGAGGTGGCGGCGGTGGTGGAGGAGCAGGTCGACGTCGTGATTCCTATTATGATCGGGGATATGATAGAGGGTATGATAGATATGAAGAATATGACTACCGGTACAGGTAACCAGTTTGGCTCATCATTTGATTCTTGCAATTTATTAAAGTTTTAATAAAAGTAAGTTGCCATGGGGAGTCTTCCAACTCACTAATTTCTAGAGAAATAAGTGGGGGAGAAAAGAAAACAATGTCATTAGGCAGCTGGAGAATAGGCTAATATAGGTGAGGTAACATGAATGGATGTAAATCATAAGGGTGTAAATAAAAGTCAAATGGGGATTAAAACAAAATGGGAAATGTCCTATTGAAAATAAAAGCCACCAAAGGGGATGGTTAAGTATGAGGTTAAATCCATTTAAAAATATTGTCTTTCTCTTTCGTCGAGTTGTTTAGTTAAACTGAATTCTGTGGAGATAAGGACTTGTTTTTACATGTCTGCAGAAGTTCAATAAACACTTGGAGCATCATAGAAGATAATAAGCATTGTCTCAATAAATGAATACGTTTAAATATAATACTGAGACTAAAGCTAGGAGTGCCGTATATATTTCATTGCGAATCACTACCAAATCAGATTTAAATCAACTATACAGTTCAAGTATTCCAGCATCATGGGGAACAAGTGTATCCTATAGAAGTGATTGCAAATAAGGTGTCCTAACAAAGTTAAAACTTTCTCTTTAAAGGAGACGATCACCTTCACCTTATTATAGCCGATATAGATCACGGTCAAGATCCCGCTCCTATAGCCCAAGTAAGTATATGAAATTAATCTGTAATGAACCATTCTAGTGCATCTGGACTTGATATGTTAGTTTTAATGGAAAATAGATTTGTGATCATTGAGAAATCTTGAATACGGCAACAGAATATTCACCTTCGTATAAGTTGGGCTATTGCAAGTTAAAATGTTTTTATATGGTAAAATTATTTTTATACTAATACTGTCTTTTTTTATTATTTTTTAGGACGTTACTGAAGAAAGGAAGAATTACAATTGTGGACTTGATTTTTAAATAAAGTTCTTCCCTTAGCTTCCCTTTGGTCTCTCCTTCTTTTCCCCTCAAGTCTCTTTCATAAGATCTTTGGTTCATTTAGAAGATACATATTTTCAGTTGAAATATTGCTGTTTTCCACCCCTTTTTATTGTAATATTCTTAAAGTCGTAATGGTTGTAGATTTGTGTAGTGAAATATCTTTAAACAAAATTAAATAGAAATCCGAAAGTGTTACTACATTTTGTAAAGTCATTTTGTTTTTGTTTTTAAAACTATTGTACTCTTGGTTAATCTAATGAGAAGAAAACACTGATTGTTTTTAAAGCGTGCGTGTGGTGTGTAATATACACACTTAGATACTTGAATATAAACCTGTGTTTCCAAATAACTTGTTAATTTTTCTGTTAATGTTTGGTGGTTAATTTTTGAAAAACAGCAACACTCTGAACCTCTTCTGTAATGACAAATTTTTCTAGATAGTCATGAACCCAACAGGTTTTGGTTAAATTGCTTTGAGTGTACAATATTAAAACTATAGTAAAATTCCATATTTGGTTCAACTTCTTTCAAAACAGATTCGTGTACATTGAAGATAAAGTTGTGTTTTATAGATGAAAGTTTCTAGACTTCTATTTAGTAGATAATTTTTGAAGTTAAGATCTATAACTCTGATTTTTTTTGTTTGACTCAAAGTAATATTTCCCCTTAATCAGTGCAGAAAAAATATTTATTGAACATAGCAATTAGTTCTATAATTTGCTGTTCATTGAAACTCAGGTTGGTATTGCAATGATGGTTAAAGAAGTTCTAGTTTTCAGCCCTTCTGGAGTTGCCATTAAGGATAGAAAAATTACAGTTACACATATAAAGCTCCTCTTCCTCAGAATAAAGTTAATTACACCTAAATGGATTTCCATGTCTTCTGTTCTGCATTTACATTTTGTCCGGATATAAAAAGATAATCAGACAAGTTACCATTTGATAAAGGATATTATAATTTGCTTTCATGTGCATTTTCAGAATCTTACGTTGCATTGTCTTGCGTGAGAATTGGAAACCTACTGTTATGCTAAGAGATTTAATTTATCAAAGAGTGGTGAATTAGATTAGATTTTTAATTTGGCAGGGAAATGCATCAAAAGCCATGGCTGGAAGATGAAGCAATACAAATTCAGATTAGGAAACACAGATTTTTAACAGGATAATTAACCATTGCAACAAATTACAGTACCAGGGAAGTCTAATGGAATTTTCTTCTTAAAATTGTCAAATCAAGATTTGATCTTTTGGAAAACATGCTGTAGTCAAACAAGTTACCAATTTCAGTACAGGAGCAACTGTGTGAAATTCTTTTGAGATTTGGACTGTTTTACAGGAGCTCAGTTAGGTAGTCTTCTCTGGCCTTAACTTTATGAATAAAGTTGTTTTCACATTATGCATAAAACAGTTATTCGGTGATGTCCCCTTGTGCATATAGCTTCCTCCAATATCCATGAGTTTCCCTATCTACGATGCCTGTGAAATGGAAAGAGCTGGTATTCTATTTCTGAAAAGTGTTGTGTTGGTCAAAAAAAAATGTTGCTCAGTCTGCAGGTCAGATAAATTAGTGAATTGCAATTCAAGTTTGACCCCATTGTTAACTTGGAAGAGTAATCAGAGAGGAGGAGAATTCAGTCTCCCATTTTCACACAGAAGGATGCCATATATGCTGTTTGGATACCTTTCTCTTTAAAACCAGGCTTTGGACAGTCGGGCCACTGAAGCAGCTTTCAGCTACTATTGGCTAAATTCTAATCAGTGAGCTAGAGATGGGGAAGATCCATATGCCAAGAATCAGCAGAATCATTAAGCTCTCATGACTAGATTTAGATTTCACTTTATTTGCATTGACTTGGTATTTCTGAAAGAAGTGTTACCTGGCTAATTTTTTCCCCATTCAAGTAATTAAAAACTTACAATTACTAATTAACACAGGAAATTAATTTACTTCATTTTTTGGAGTTTTGACTTGTCTAAATTTTGGGCTGAAATTAACTCTCCTTTTAATTCCAAAACTGTCAGAAACTTCCACAATAATTACTTTTATGTGCACAGTGCCTTAACTGAGGTTATCAAAAGAATGTTAACAAATTGAATTAAACCTCAAACACTGCTGTGAAGAAATGAAGTAATAAGCCATTTTACTGATGGGGGGTGGAGGTTGCCTGCAAGAAAAGGAAGTGAGATTAGAGTTTAGTGACACCTGTGAAACTCTCATTGCACTTACATTGCTGTAATAGTGGAATAATTCTGATGTGCAAGGAATCAAATCCATTTCCAATAGCTATGGCTAGTCCTACAGGGCTAACAAGAGTAAAACGTAAGAATTGTTATAAAGTAAGCAGACATGACACTAATGAAGGAGTGGATGCTTTCATAGAGTATTGATTGGAAGTTTTTCTGGGTATAATGCTTATGCATTACCAGTCATTGCATGAGGAGTTCTTGATCATTAATCTGTGACTTTGAGGCAGGACCAAGTTCTCAGAAAAATGGTGGTGGTTGTGTCTAAATGTTTGCTATCAAGGGAAATAGCTTTACTAAAACTACCATTTTGAAAATGCCTTACATAGTAGATCCATACTTTATGCTTGAAAATTTGAGTCTCACCACATGTGAAGCATGTAAATTATATTTCTTAAACTTGTTGGCTGCGTCTAGACTGGCATGATTTTGCGGAAATACTTTTAACGAAAAAGATTTTCCGCTAAAAGTATTTCCGCAAAAGAGCGTCTAGATTGGCACGGATGCTTTTGTGCAAAAAGTGCTTTTGCGCAAAAGCATCCGTGCCTAGTATAGACGTGCTTTTGTGCAAGAAAGCTCTGAACCATTTTAGCCATCTGGCTTTCTTGCGCAAAAAATTAAGGTGCCTGTCTACACTGGCCCTCTTGCGCAAATATTCTTGCACAAGAGGGCTTATCCCTGAGTGGGAGCGTCAGAGTATTTGCGCAAGAAGCACTGAATTCTTACATTAGAATGTCAGTGCTCTTGCACAAATTCAAGCGGCCACTGTAGACAGCTGGCAAGTTTTTGCACAAAAGCAGACACTTTTGCGCAAAATCTTGGTAGTCTAGATGCACCCGTTAATTTTAACAAGCAACATGCAAGTTATGAAATAGTCTTAAGTGTTCAGCTGTTCAACGTTTTCAAAAATGTTTGGCTAAGATCTTCTGTTTCTGAGATCACCAAAGGGACTGACTTGGTATGTCCATCTCCTCTTCTGTTTATTAAGTTCTTTGTTATTCATGTTACGTTTTACTAAGGGGATCAGTAGTTCAAGTATGTCTGTTTCCAGCCACCGTTAGTCTTCATACTGGCCTGTGGTCTCACTGTAGAGGAAGGCTCCAACTGTTACTTAATAATTACTTTGTTTGGTCACAGTTAACTTGAAGTGTTTGGTCACAGTTAACTTGAAGTCTTAAGTGACATGGCAGGAGTCAACTTCTCTTCAGGCACACAATCCTCTATGCAATAATGTTGGCTTCAAATATAAAGGAGTAGTCTTGGAGTACCTTAGAGACTAATAATTTATGTCTCGTATCATGAGCTTTTGTAGGCAAAACTTACATCCTCAGATTATGTAAACTTGTATGATACTATATGTAAACCCACTTTCTCAAATGAGCAAAGTGAGTCAGGATACTGTATATACATTTTTGTTAGTCTCTAAGATGCTTCAAGGTTACCTGTTTGCAAAGTAACAGGCTAACACAGCTACCCTTCTGAGACAGTATAAAGAAGCTTAGAGTCAAGCCATTCTTCATCTGCGAAGTGGGGTGGGGTCTATACCTGTTTTATTCTCAAGCTGGCAAAAGGGCTCAAAGGCTAGAGAGGAGTCTTTCCTTCCCTCCCCCCATTTTCACATGACACAGGGAGTGTTCAGGGCTGCCTGTGTCCAGAAAAACAGATACATAAAGAACTCTAGCTTTCATCCCAGGACACTCAAGAAAAGCAGATTACTTGGGAAAGATCCAAGGGTCCCTCCTAACGGGGAGCTTAACTAACTTAGGAAAGTAGACTCAGATTCCAGGACTTCCTTACAATTCTTTCTGACAACAAAGGAATGCTACCACATGCCTGTTGGATTAGTCTGCTCCCAGTTGAGGATGTGCAACACACAGTTGCCCCATGGAAGAACAATTAAGAAAATCATGTCTGTACATAATATACCACTCTTGCATTTCCCCACAAGCTTTTTTAGACAGAGTAATAGTTGCTGAAACAGACTAAAAGGCAATGGTACTGAAAGAGTCAAAAGTGGGCAGTCATTCTTACACACACATACACTCTGCCCATGTGCAGGTCAAGTTACCTAAATCAGACATCAAATCAGAACCAAATACTCAGGTCAGATTCTTTCCATCCAGTTATTTTGATACATTAATTAGTAATAGAGGAAAGGTCTCAAAAGCAAGGGTAAGTCTCCTATTATGCAAGCTAGGATTGTTGCAGATTTCTCCACAACTTTGAGATCTAAATTCACACTTAGAATAACATAATGGTTGAACAAAAACACACAATTTCTAAAATGTGTAAGTTGCAGATGTAAGGTAGATAAACAGCTGTACCCTCTGCAAAATGATTGCTTCTTAGCCATGTGGTTGGAAGCTATAGAGCTGTATCACAGATAGTTGGCAGTGATGCCCAATATCTGCACATCCAAATGAACATTCTTCTATGGGGAAAAACTAAGGAAGGTGACAGCTAAAATGAAAGAAAATAGAAAATGTTACTAAAGCCTATAAAGTATATAAGAGGCTACAACGTTAAGTACAAGTTAAAGGTGGATTTACAATACTTCAAGGCTACGTCTAGACTGGCATGATTTTCCACAAATGCTTTTAACGGAAAAGTTTTCCGTTAAAAGCATTTTCGGAAAAGAGCATCTAGATTGGCACGGACGCTTTTCCGCAAAAGCACTTTTTGCGGAAAAGCGTCCATGGCCAATCTAGACGCGCTTTTCCGCAAAAAAGCCCCGATCGCCATTTTCGCGATCAGGGCTTTTTTGCGCAAAACAAATCAGCTGTCTACACTGGCCCTTTTGCACAAAAGGGACTTTTCCCCGAATGGGAGCAGCATAGTATTTCCACAAAAAGCACTGATTTCTTACAGTAGGAAGTCAGTGCTTTTGCGGAAATTCAAGCAGCCAGTGTAGACAGGTGGCAAGTTTTTCCGAAAAAGCGGCTGATTTTCCGGAAAAACTGGCCAGTCTAGACACAGCCCTAGTGATTGAGCTCTTGTGTCCCTCTTAGCAGGCTATTAAGAAGTAGGCTGCAGATGTGCTACAAAATCCCAACTGCCCCAGTTTGTCAGCTGCTGACATTTCTGGACACAATGCATGCAGACACAATTCAATTAGCATTGTTCATCAGATGAGCAATCCATCCTAATCAAATGGATTGCTGAGAGGAAGCCATGGCAGAAAGTAATGCTCTTCACAAATAACTATAATCCTTGATATGTTGGAACAAGTTAAACTTCTCCCAGGGGGAAGTGCTGGCAAGAGGTGCTCCCTACAAAGATAACTGTGGATGTACCAGTGTTGCAGTGAGGTACCTCCATGGGTCTCGACACATCATGGTAAGTGGCCCAGGAAGAAACAGCATGATTAAAAATTGGAGTTGAGACAGTGGTCAGTGCTGTAGGAGACTCTTTACCCTCAAATGAAATTTAACTATTCTGCTTCAGGTCAACAACTCAGCCAGCTTAATCCTTCATATTTTATTCTCTTCAAACCCTCTGGCTGTGTCTAGACTGGCAAGTTTTTCCCGCAAAAGCAATTGCTTTTGCGGAAAAAACTTGCCAGCTGTCTACACTGGCCGCTTGAATTTCCGCAAGAACACTGACTTCCTACTGTCTAAAATCAG